AATTTTGTAAATACCATGTCTAGCGTTTAAGCTGACGTTATTGTCTGACCGTTTAATAGATCTCCAGTCGAGACGTCGAAATATGAATCATTGTCTGCCTTCGTTCTGACATCGTTTAAATTGCTGAAGAATTTAATCACTTGGCACCATTAGACCTGCGAGTATTTAACATCGAATAGCGGTTTCGAGCCTTCTCCCATCGAGCCATTTCGCTCGAATAGCGGTTTCGAATTTTCCCGGCTCCTGATGTGATCTTCACACCGTCATGGTGGGCGACTAAGTGACATGGTATTCGGGCTAGGATGCCGGTCAGCTATCAACGCTGTACTTATCCGGCGGTAAACCCGGTTACGTGCCCGTCCCGGAACCATAATTTCTCTTTTCTGCTTTCGATGACGACGTCTTTCTTTCCCTTCCTTTGTTTCATCACCTTGTTCGGCATGTGACTGTAAAGTGAAAATTTCAAACTTTCTACGTTTCATGGCTCTTTCAGTGATAGATTCCTTCCGCCCTTCGACTTTCGTGAGTGACCATTTCTCACAACTATGCAACACTGCTGCGGAGACGGTAGAATTGAAGAGGTAGGTGCGTCTTTCCGGCTGTTGCGAGGACGCTGTCCTTGATGGAATTGAACGCGCGCCAACCGATCCACTTTCTTCATTGAATCTCTCCAGCCACTTCATGTCGCATGTTAAACTCATGGTCCAAGTAAATGCATTTATCGAGTTCTTTCATCTGTTTACCGTTTAATATGCCTTCGGTAGGGCATCCGATGGCAGTATCGTCGCCTTTAATCGATTGGTTCGCAGTCCTGCCTCTGCACTTGCACCCTCGAGCTCTTGCGGAATTTTTTGTAGCTGATAGGTGTTTTTCGCCAACAACACAACTTCATCAGCTAACTTGTAGTGGCTGAACTGTTCGCCATTGATGCTAATCCTAGTCTTCCAGTTCATTCTTCGAAACACTGTTTTCAGACCGGCAGTGTAAGAGTTAGGGGGAGATGGTGCTCATTGTTTCAGGCCCTTCCTTTCGGCAGTCCGGAGGAAGCGTCAAACAGTGGTTTATGAAGCAGTGATTGTTCGCGTCCTTTAACGGGTCTTGATGCCCGGTGCAGCCAGTGCAGTCCATAATGCCATGCGCTCGATGGTGTCGAATGCTTTCTTGCAGTGAAGAAGGCTATGTACAGTGGCATCTGGAATTTCCTCTCGCGCTCAAGGAGTTGACTTGAGGTAATGATGTTATACGTTGTACTGCAGC